ATGAGGGGAGCAGCGGGTGAGATAGAAGAAGTCTGCTGCACCATGTGGATCACCTCCGGGGCTGGAGATTGAACTGTACTGAAGCGGCTGCGTCAAGCTTGCAGTGCTTCATCTTAACCCGTTATGCGCCGGGGAGAGCCCCCGGTCATATTTTAACCTTTTGATTTTCAATGGATAGCAGCAAAATCTGACATCTTCGTGCTCAGACAAGAGAATTACTCTTTCCCACTGTATTAAGACTGAACTTCTCATAAATATAGTAGGCTTAGATTTGGTGAACACACAGGAAGGAATTGTCAGAGACAGGAAGTAAAATTTTCTCATTTTGAATAAAAGTAGGTATATCAGTTCCTAAATGATGACATTTTGAGAGAGACTCAGGTCAGAAGAGATTTTGAGTATGGGTACAGTTTAATGTGTTTTCTGTTTTTGTTTTGTTCTCTATAGTAATTAGCAGAGCAAGAGATTTGTAGTTTTGTCTTATGCTTGATAGAAGGCAGATCTTCTTTACATGCTATGTAAAATTAATGGAATACAATAGGATAGACTCAAGGTAAGGTATATATTTGGTCAGATTATTGGGAAATGATATTTGAAGTCTTCCTAAAATTTTCGCTTATTCTTCTTTACTACCACTTGGCGATTTTCTTAGGTCCCTGGACCTATTTGGGCTGGGGAGAGCAGCGAAGTACGTAAGAATTTAAACACCTTATAACTTTTTTCATCCTCCCTCTTCATACCTTTCTTCATATTCTCTTTGAACTATGAAGCTGAATATTCATGCATACAAGCTTATATAATTTTATTCCGCTCCTCCCCTAGTTCTCTCAGGAGACAATTACCTGTAACAGAATATTTAACCCTTTCATACTAGTTTATTGAAGAATTCCTGTATGTGTGTTTATATGATACATTTTAAGTCAAATTCCTGACAGGATCTCTTGATTATTAATTTCCAGAGATGAGCAATACCATCAATTTCCTAGTGTAGGAAATGCCCTTTGAGCTCTTGACTAAAGAGTGCCATGACCAAAAGATTCAGTCTGGAAAAGATAATTGATTTCTGATGTGAACAACAGGGTGAAGACATGGTTTGACATACCTTAAAGTAGCCCAGCTAGGCTGGAGGCTTAACTTGGTTCTAGAACTGAGAGAGTGGGTAGCAAGAAACATAGCCCGAGGGGGAAATTACTGGTTATGTTACCCATGTGACTGGGAGTCTGATTAAGCCCTTGTTATTAGGTAACAAAATGCTAAGAGAGGCCAAATTTTATCTGGTCACTTGAATTTCTCATGAGTATGTGCTTTCTGTGATTTGAATTCTGAGTAGTTCCTCTAGGTTAAGTACTCAAAGGCAGCCTGAGAGAGCTTAGATAACTTGCTTTATAATAGGAAAAAAGTAACCCTTGTGTTAGGGAGAGGTTTGGATTCTCTTCCCCTTCTTTTAACTGTACTGTGGATTTAAAGACAGGGTCTCAATCTTGGAACACACCTGTCAGTCTCATTGTTAAGTTATTTCATTCAATTTTGTTAGAGCTCTTCCCCTGTGTCTGGAGCACAGGTTAGACTTTTGACCCACTTTACTTTCCCCAGCCTATTTTTCCAGATATATCTTCTCTTCCATGTATCTGCCAAATAAGCAACATAATTCTCAAAAGTACGTAGTATTGAACTTTTAATCAAGCCATTATTTTTTTTAAAGATTTATTTATTTATTCATACAGAACTGGGGTACAGGCCAGAGATGCAGAGGGTGAGAGGATTCACCAGAGACATAGTGGGGAGCAGAACAGGCAGATCGACGAAATACACTGCTGAGGGGAGCAGGGGGCGGGTCAGGAGAGGTCTACCACGCCATGTGGATCTCCTCCGGGGGAGGTGGGGATCGAACTCATGAGGAAGTGGCTTAAGCTTCTTAGTGCAGTGCTTTAACCCGCTGTACCACCAGGGAGGGCCCTCAAGCCATTATTTTTATCCAGATTCAAGAAGGTATTTCTCCTCCCTCTCCAGTCTTCACCAATTGAAAACTCACCAGTTTTTTCAAAATCATTTTCTTCAGAAAACATCTTAATTTACCCAAACAGAAAGTGATCTTATTTTCAATTCATATAGCATTTAGCTTGTACAGTTCTCATGATAGTTCAACTACCATACATATTTTTTCCGTACATAATTTCTCTTTCCCAGACTGCATGTAGGCACTCAATAATCATGTAAATAAGTAAGTTTTCTCAGCCATTTAATAATGTTTCATCATTCAAAAAGACTAGCAGGGCTCTCAACTTTTGCCCTCAAGCTATTTCATAAATTCCTCCTTAGACTGAGTAGGCAAATCTGCACTCACTTCTCTTTTGAAGGAGGAATTTTCTGTTCCAGCTAGTTCTGTTCCACTGAACTAGTGCTGCGGGGCAGAGAATAGGGCCAGTAAGGAAGTAAGGAAGAGATTGTCACTACCACACTAACACAATTCTTTCCTTCAGGTTTTTTCACTTAATTTCCCTTTTCAGCTTCTAAATCATCTTTGTTGGTGCCAGGAAGTTACTTTCTAAGAAAATTAGGGATAAGGTAGGGAAAGAAAAGAAAATCTGGCCCTTACCAGCTCCCTACCTTTTTCTTTTTTCTTTTCTTTCTTTCTTTCTTTTTTTTTCTGTTTCTTTCCTTTGTCTCTTCTTACTTCCTTGACTTTCCTGTTCCTTCCCACCTTTTATGTTATATTTGCAACCTCCTCTTTCCATAGACACTATTTTGTAATATTTGTTCTTTGCTTCTTTAGTATAGAAATTTCCCTTTAGGGAAGTTTTAGAATATTCCCACCATTATTAGCCTAGCAAAATAAAAAGGTATAGCATTACTTAGGAGTGGTAGGTCAGATACAATGAGAAACTAAGGACCATCCATGTAGTTTCTGTCTCTGGACCATGGGCTCCTAACTGATTAACTACCCTCTCTTGATCCTTCTAATCAACAGAATTGTCTGTCATCCCTCCCTCTTTGAAAGAGACTCATCTTTGTTCTTTGGGTGATGTAGAAAACCCTCCTGCTGGAGTTGACTTTTAGTTTTGTGTGTTTTGTTGCCTCTGCCTTCTCTTCTGTATACATGAATAACCCAGCTCTGATTTCTTCATAGTTCTTTGTGGAATGAGAAAGAATTTTCTATGAAAGGCATACTGGGCTTTGTACCTTATAGGTCTTTAGAACAACAAATGCATATAAAACCAGTACCTCCAAAGTCTTTCTTTCTTGTTTTCAAAAGACTTTGTAAAGAATACTGTGCACATCCTATTGTTTGCTTTTGTTTTCCATCTTTACTGTATGCACCCTTTATTGGCAAGTGTTACTAGTACTGTCCTTAACCATTTGAATATTACTCTCTTTCTTATATTGACTTCCATCTCACTGCCCTTGGATTTCTGATCACTCCCCCTTTCACATTTTGCTATAAAGTCAAATGGGTAAAAATTAGATCTTGTTACCCTTATTCCTATCCTAGGGATTGTTGTTTTAAATTCAAATAGATAAATTTCATAAAAACTTTTATTCCTAATCCCATCCTAAATCCACAATTCTGTCTGGAAACCCATGTTTAAATTTTATGCTTTGCAGTGAAAAATCCATATTTGTGCCCTTTTTTAGTAGAATTATTATCTATTACTCTAACATAGATTCTAGTGGTCATTTCCCAATTTTATCTTCCATTTGTCCCAAAGAAGGACAAATCTGTCTAGATTTTTTCCTATTAATTAATTCTTATTTCTACTGCATGTAAAGCTCTTTCCTTACACGAGTAATTACATGGTCTTCAGGAGACTTCTGCAGCTCACATTATTACCGAGATTATCTTTTAAAACTACTCCTAATACAAGGAGTCCATCATCTGGTAAAGTAACTTCTTTTTTAAGGATGGTGAATGTTCTTTTTCCTTGTTGTGAGCCAATAGGAACTTGGCAAATGAGGATATATAGGACCTTGTTAATAATACACATATGGAGATTGTGTCAGAAATCTCTTCTCTATAAAATAACCTACAAACACTATTAGGTTGATGCCTTTTTCAAGCACAATGTTGCACATTTTTAGTTTTGTTTGGAGTGGGATTTGTAACTGTGGTAATTTTAGCTAAAATTAAGAATAAAAATGTAATTAGTAAGGTGCTAGCCTGAAAAGCAGAAATAATGCTATGAAGTGGTAGTCACTGCTATTAAACTTGACTTCATTGTTGACAGGATTTCATTGGCAGTGATATGTTTTCCTGTTTTCCTTCAGCTCGAACTTTGAATGGGAGTTCTGTGACCAGGGTTAGGTGATTGACAGGAATTGTTAAAAAACAAAAACAAAAATCAAAGTCACAGCAAGGCAGTAGGCCTGCTGCTGTTCTCTGCCTCAGTAAGGGCTTTTTACTTGACTTCCAAGTGTTGGCTTTGACCTTCCAGATTTTCTGCCTGGATCAACTTCCCATATTGGCCCTGCTTTTTAGGTTCAACTATGTATTTTAAAGTCTGAACACACCAAGCTAACTTTAAACAAAAAATTATTTTTTCTAAGCTATAGAAAACCTTTTTCCCTTTCCACCCTCTTTTGATGATAGAAGACCATGTTTATATAATCTAAACAAAGGTTTTCATTAAGGTTATAATAGCGAGAGAACCAGAATTCCAAAGAATTATGCATTGGGAAAAATGCAATTTGGAACTCATTTAAGAATTAGCCCTAAAATTAATCTAACTCCATTATCTCTTTCCAAGAGAAAGAGGCTTGTATGTGTTAATTGAGACAGTTTTGCATGTGACTTTGAGGTCACTGGGCTCAAGTGCAATTTACCTTGCTTCTGTATTCAAGATCCAGGCTAGTGGCTTACCTAATAGGAAGCAGAAAAAAATTTGAAAAACGAAATAAAACTGTAGTGTTTTTATTGACTGTGCTTATTCCACAGCTTTTGAAGATGCTGATAGTGCCGTGGATGACAGAGATAGTGACTATCGCAGTGAAACCAGCAATAGCATCCCACCTCCTTACCATACAACTTCTCAACCTAATGCTTCTGTGCACCAGTTCCCTGTGCCTGTGCAATTGCCACAGCAGCTGCTACTCCAGGGCAGTTCCAGGGACTCTTGCAATGATTCTATGCAAAGTTATGACCTTGATTTTCCAGAGCGGAGGGCACTCAGGTAGGTATTGGGAACAAAGCACTTTTTCTTCATAGTGTGGTACCTAGATGCAATTGACAAGTTTTGGGGTGTTTTAATTTTAGTAATGGTGCAAGTAGAACAGTATGCTGTACCAAGCTGTAGCCATGCTGTGTAGACTCTTGATCTTTGTTTCTCTTTCACACATTTGTGTTTCTATCAGTAATAGTTCTCATGATCTGCCGTTCTTAACTGGTTATCCTTGTCTGCTTAGAGTGGATCGGTGAAAAAATCTGATTGTTCCTGTGCCCAGTCCAGTGATTTTTTGATAGACCTTTCACTAGGATTTCAAAAAGAAAATCACAGATTTAATGTTGAATAATCTTTCTTACTTAAATATTTCTCTGGAAACTTTAGAAGAAAACCAATATGATCTCACTATGGCTGATTCTGTACTTTTTCTGGCCAACTTTAAAAATATTTTTCTTTTGACATAGCTTCAATAAAAATTTTTCCTTTTAAAAAATATTTATTTCTTAAATATGTGAAATATTTACATGGCTAAAAAAAGTTAAGGTATAATACAATACACAGCAAAGAATCTATGACGCACACCCGTATCCTCTTCGATCTCATTCCCTTCCGGTTTCCTTTCCAGTACTATTTGTTTATTAAGTTCCCTCCAATGGACTTGTTGTCATATTTATGAGAACAACAAGTACTTACATATATGCTCCCCTCTTTTCTCCCAACCTAATTAAAAATCCAAACATAAAATTTAGAGATATAATATAACGAATATATGTGTCCATTCCTAGTGTACCAGCTGGGGTTTTGCCATGCTTGCTTCATCTCTTCTCTCTTCTATATATTCATATACACATCTTTTGTTTCTGAATCATTTGAAATTAAAGTGAAGATAACATGTTTTTTCACCAAGAAGTACTTGAACAAATAATTCCTAAGAAAAAATACTTTCTCTTACATAACCCCAATACTATGGACATACTTAAGAAATTTGATGATATGATGGTATTATTTAATCTGTAGATTGTATTTATATTTCCCCACTTGTCCTAACAATGTCCTGTACGTCAGTTTTTTTTTTCTTCGTTTTTGATCCATTATCCAAATAGGAACCTTTGTGTGTTGCACTTTTCTCACATTTCATTATCTGATCCAAAGAGAAACATGCCAGCAACTCCCCTGAAGTTTGTCCCTAGTCCTTGCTGGTCTGTTAATTGAATACTTACATAATTTCTTCATTTTATTTTAGTTGTTTGTATAGCCCTATTTTAAGAAAAATTATAATAGTAAAATTAAAGTTTTTTCACCATCTTTCCCTTCTGTTTTTATAAGAACTAGATATGCAGGCTAGCAGTGATCATGGCACATCAAGATACAAAACTATGCACTCTTTCCTAGAACAGCTGCAGTTTATCTAGTAACTTATTTCCTGGGCTTGTGTTGTAATGACACTGAGAAGCGCATTAGTGGTATACTTTAAATTGCAAATTATTTTCATACAATTTTTCTTGAATTGATCCTATATAAATTTGACTTTCTGTGTTAGTATATGAAACAAGTTAGAAAAAAACATCTCAAAAGTAAATGTAATAAAGTAAAAATGAGAACAACGAACAATTATAAACCAGAGACTCTGTATGGGATGAAAAGGGTGTGGGATAAAAACTGGGGTAGAAAATGGACACAGGACCATGGCACACGGGTGAATTGATGGTGGGAAGCCTGCGGGGACTACAACTGAGATGCCAAAATGTACAAAATGAAGAATGGTGTAAAAAATAAATAAGGAAAAAAATAAATAAAACTAGAAAAATAAAGCAGCCCAACAAGAGAAGAAGTTAACATGATTTTTAAGAGAACTTTCATTAAATATATATTTTTTACAAGTTTTGAAACAATTTCTTGAAAAGGTTATGAAAAAATTATATCACTAGCACTGATTTTTAAATGCTTTTACCTCTGTAAATACTTGGTTAATACTTTTTTTTTTAAGGAAGAATTTTTTAGTACCTTACAGTAAATTACAAGTGTAAAATAGCTGCATTTATTATACTCATGCCAATCTTTTAATTTAAGTGGAACTATAAAAATTTCTAGCCCTCCAGTGAGTTTGCATTTTTGATGGTAAAAGGGAGTAAAGAAACTGCAAGTAAGAAAATGTTTTAAATTGGATTTCCTTACTCAACCAAGTAATCAGTAAGCTGATTTGCCTGTGTCCAGAATAATAGGAGATTTTTGTGAAACATAATTTTCATTTTGACAATAAAGTTGAACTCTGTTAGATATTATTTAGCTAAAGTGTAGTATTGAGAAGAGTCAAAGGATATCAGCCTGATTCTTGAAGATTTTTAGTGATTTTAACAAACATTTTGATTCTGCCTCTGTTTCCTAAAAAAATGCTATTGTATTTTAGATCTATGAGAGAATACACTGAACTAACAAATTCCTATTCTGCAGGCTCTCCCTATACCCCTTAGTACACAGGAAGCAAGCTGTCTATAACCTGTCTTCAGTATTCTTTGACTTAGTAGAACCTGTAGCTTCTGCTGTTGTAATCAGTATAGGGAAAGATTTTCATTTTACTGTAAACCTCAGTATATATAGCTTTAGATTTCACAAACAATGCATCATAATGCTTTTAACAATTTGCTGGTTTGGTAGTGTTAAGAAGATTTGACTTTTGCTAATAATCAAAGATTACTATTATTCTGTACATATTTTTCTTTTTAAAAGACATATGTTTGACCACATTCTTGGCAATACAACTTAAAATCTGACTTTTGGTGTATTAATAGCTAGGCTTCTTTTTAGACCAAATTCAACAAAATTAGGGTTCTTGAAATCCATTGATAATGTTTATTTTAAATTTTGTCTTTGCAAATACATTCTAATTATTGATGAAATATGTTCATGTAGTTGTTTATTTGATCCTCAGAAAATAGAAAATTTTATTTTAGTCCTTAGAAAATAAAAGTGCTCCAATGAGAAATGGTAGCAAATGAAGTGATTTGAAGTTGTTATTATAGCTGTTCTTTTGCTGAGATGGAAAAAAACAACTTGACTTTAATGATTTAAGAGTATGGGAATTTTTTTATTTTTTTCAATCTGTATTTTTTTAAATCACATTGACAGTTTTACTATTTCTAGTCTGATTCTCATTGAACATGCACTAAATCTTAATTTGTTTCTTTTCTTCTTTCTCCTTTTTTGTTTACCTTACCATTTCTCCAATTTTATTATTTTATACCAGAAAAAACCAACATGCCAAAAATAACAAAATTATTTCAGCTTTCTCTGTCATTAACTTTGAAGAGCAAGAAGGTGTATATAAGGAGATAGAGGAAAAAATATCACAAACCTTTCTGGACAGTAGGGACATAAGCTTAAGGGAAGCAGAGGTAAATGAAACTCACAATCTTTCAAAAGCTAATAAACACTATAGCCAACAAGAACAACAAAAGAATAAGAATTGGAAAAAGACACCATCTAAGATTCAGGGAACAGAATTTGCCACTGCCTTTAATTTTGCATTTAAAGCACCTGTTTTCTCCAAATATCCTAAGAAATATAATGTAATAGATACAAGAAGAAAAAAGAAGCCCTTATATACTCATTTTGAACAGTGAAATAAGACAATGCAGTGCTAGATTAGGAAGTGAGGCTGATTTCGAAAGTATATATTCTGACACTGAAAGTTGCAACATTTGTCCTATTGAAAAGAAGAAACATAATTACCCAGTTTTGTACCCTTACAAAAATGGATTTGTGGTTGAGAGTGGCATGCTGACCACTAAATTAGAAAGTCAAGATTGTAATCTTCCTGGTTACTTTGAGTACTATGAAAAATCAGCTGGCTTAAGCCAGCATATTATTAATTCTACTCCACTGGATATTCTTGAAGATTCTACAAGTAGTACTTCTTATGAACTTCTGGACTCTCCCATTTCTGATAAGCAAGAATATTTACTGTCACAAACCTGGCAGTCACCCAATGTCTGTCATATTGGAGGCATTCCTGAACACTATTATGTAGCAAATGCAGAAGTCCCATTACAAAAGATGAATTGTGCTAAAAATGCACTTAGAGATCTGTCTGGGTGCACCATGAAAGAGATGACATCTCCCTCTATAGAAGAATCCAAGAAGGACTATATTGGCACAATAGATGAGCTTCAGTGTTTGGTAGAAACAGTGTCAGAATATTTAGCTGAAAAGGAAGAAGAGATTGATAGATTTGTTTCCCTTTCAAAAACTGATAAAGTATTTAAACACAGTAGTACTATTGATAATGCAGAACGGAAAATGTTTGTGGATCAAATTTTACCATTCACTGTTGTCAAGAATGATAAAGATAAGGCTGTCTCTTTTCCTGAGCTGAAACGTGCTTTTGGTTCTTTATTCATTTCACTCACAACAAAGGTGGGCTCAGGCACAAAGCATCTAACAGCCTCTGTGGAAAAGCTGGTTTATTCAGTTCCAGAGAAAACAGAAAGGCTTAATCCAATAGAGACAACTAATTCAGTATCTGAACCCAGAGTCAAGTCAGTACTAGAGAGGGATTCTTCCATGCAATCTCTACTATCCTGTCAAATAGTTGATAATAAGGATATTAGCAGACACAGCAAAACTGCTGAAAATGAGCACACAGGTAAGAAAGTTAGTAGTTCATTCTTTCAGAATACATAACGTATCATTGGAAAGGTCTCAGCTCCACAGAGTTGGAGTTCGGTTGTAAAGTCTGTTTTCACTATGCTAAATACATTAAAGATCTTTTCAGAAAAGGAGGAAGCCAAAAAAGATGATCAACAGAGCAAGCATACAAGCAAAGAAAACTTCACTGACTGTGGTTCAGAGTCAGATAAAAAGGAAAATACTTCTGGCAATAACAGCAGTAGCATTGTCATTTTAGATAATAGTGATAGAGAAATTACAGGCTGCCCCCAAATACCCATGAATGGGTATTTGTCTTCCCAGGTGACCAATGAACTGTCAAGCCTAGCCAGTTCTACAAGTAA